TGGCATTGATGTCTGCTTGTTGTTAATAAATCCGTAAAAAATTCCAATTGCTTAATCGCTTTTCCACACATGACAACAAACACACTCATGTCGGAAGTGTGCTAATTGGGAAAGCGTCAAACGCGTTGGCTTTCGGCAATAATACGCAAAATTCGGTGATTTTTCCAATTTTCGTCCTTGAGGTGAATGTGGCAACGAACAGTGGTCGATTGTTTAAAAATGCCACCGATTTATCGGACATGTGCAATCATGTTTAATGCTTGCATTGGCAAAACTTGTTATGATTATTAGCAATATTAATCGATTGCACCAACGATTTGTCTGGCTCCTGCACTTTGCGGGTATTTTTTTAGTTTTTGGACCCACAAAACTGTTCAATTCAGTGGGTAAACAGTCCAATGTGAACCTGCCGGGTTGGCTGGCGGCTGCTGGAGAAAAACGACGGTTACTCTCCTATGGTTAACGCGTGTAATCGTTCGGAATAACAATCACTATTGTCACGAGCCGGAATCAGATGGCGACTAATTGCTGTAGAATCATAAAAAATAGTTCAAGCCGAACTCTGGTAGTGGAGTTCTCTGAATTTCTGTTCACTTTAGAGGATTGTTTGCCATTGACAGCCAAACAAGCGCCTCGTGTATGACGTCGCGTACACCACCAACCTGCCATGTAGGTGTCACTTTGACGTTTATCTACCTATGTGTTTTATGTCAATCATTAATCAAACCCAAGGGGGGAGAAGGCGCGGAAATAATGCGAGAGAGACAAAAGGTTTATTACGGCTATTAATTTAATTTAATTAATTTTTTTTATTTAAATACGCGTATAGATGCGATTAACATCAGGCGCAAATGTTTTTACTAGGCAGGCAAATAGCGCAAAGAGCTTTTGGTGCCGTTATTGATTTTCCAACAAAACCATAACCATTGAAGAGCACACTTATGGGCAAACCATCGCAGTATTTGCCCATCAGAGTTTCATTATGTTTCCGTGAATTTTTCATGAATGTTCGGAGGCTATTGTTGCAATTATTTTCTAATAACGACGGCGGAAGAGGATATTCCTATGTGTGTTTTGATGACATGGCGTGTAGTTGAAGTTCGATATTTCGTGATGATTGCGTTCCGGCAAATTACACGCTTCGTACATGAGATTAAAATTCGTCAATAGGTACTCGATCAAATGCAGCCATAAATATTGCCTTTCAGGCATTAGCCATTCAGCGCTTAAACGCCGTTTACCAACAAACTGAATGGTTAATTGGCCCGTTCGCAATAAATTCTATGGCATTTGATGAATACGAAATGCACCATGAATATTTAGGTTCGAAATGCTTTAAATGTATCAATTTGCGACGGTTTTACGGCGATTTCCGCTTTCTTCTAATACATTAAGATTGCCTATCTTATCTAATCGCCCTGTTTGCCACCCAAAAAAACTTGATTAATGAACAAGTGGGTTTATCGCCAAAGAATCAACTGATGGCATGTTTGGGCCGCGCTCGATTAATCGAACTGAGCTTAACCCAATTTTGACTACAGTTTATCGATTTGGTGGACTGAAGTCCGGCCCTTAATAATGGATGAAGCCCGCGATTGAATGGATATTGAGTCCTAAAAAACATTGAAAACGCTCCAAGCTGGGGCTTCAGGTAAACCGTTGGGGCAACCGACCTAAAAATATCCATGAACAATGGAAAAAGCGGACAATAAGGTTCAAAAGTCGTCAAGCGATAGCCGCTGAATATTCATCATCAAGTGAATACTATCCATGAATTTGCCGATTGGTTCGGATAATTCGCGTTTTGCCCTGAACATTCAACAATCGCCGTTGCTCAAAGTGCGTCACGCCAGTACTTGGCTTTTATTGCCAATGATAAAACGCGATACTTCCAATAACTAACCATTGTTCATGGGCGAGTTGGCGAAATAGAATAAAAAATTATGACCCTACTTATCGAAAGCAGTTAAACTTATTCATTTCAAATATCGTTTTTTCCGAATGCAACGTTGTGCCCGGTCAACTGTGTGGTTTGGCCACTGCTTGTCGTGTAAATCGTAAAAATGCCAGCGGCCTCGACGTCGCAACACTTTTTTGTCAACCGGGTGCGCCACTGGCCCTCTGCATTTGCTGCTCAATATGGCCAGCCCGCTTTCTTTCATTTACCCGCAATTGTGCGCCACTGATGTCCGACCCACATCATTCGGTTCAGCGCCTAATTTATCAAAAATCGTGTTTAGCGTGCAAATCGTCGGCGAACACTTTTGGGGGCCCGCACTGCACTGGCTTTTTTCGAAAAATGCGGGCTTAAAAAACAAAGCTGGCTGGAAAAATGTCAGCCTACAAACTTCCGGCCTTTCCCGGGTGACTGAAGGGCTCATTTAAACGTCAACATGACAGATCGTCTCACTGGCCCGTCAACGCCTAACCTTGACAAGTGTCAATTTCGATGAAAGCTGTCACTTTTTCAACTACTCACCGGGAAAATGCGAATTTGGCATCCTGTCAGTGGTGTGTTTGTTGTGGGAATCAGGGAAATTTCGAAAAATCCATGAACAACTACGACGACAAACAAGCAAATATTCCGTTGTAATCTCGAGGCCCCGGCTAAGATTATAAGCCACTTATTATGCCCTGATAACAAAGACAAACAGCCTGGAAGGTTACGAACACAATAAGCAAAGATCAAAACACAGTATGATAATTTTTTAAATAAGCGGTCGATTATTAGCCGGGTTATCAGTTAATTTCATTCGCAAACATGGATAGTCACTTTTGTTGCAATAACTGTAGTAGGTATACCGGAGTCATGTTTGTCAGCTGTTATGCTAATGAAGGTTTTTCTGCTTTGCAACGGTACGTCTATGTTAATACGGCCTGCCCGAAGGGACCACCGCTTAGGGTATGTGAGCTCTAGATCAATCTTTATCTCTCTGTCAGAGCATAATTCATAGATTCACATTGTAGATAACTGTTGCTCAAGCAGCGATAACGATGGTATCGTCTGCGCARTMATTTTTCCAGTGCACCCTTTAAATGCCAGTTATTTGAGGATTAGTTTATGCCGATTCGGGAAGTTTGGAAACTTTCCATTGTTGCGGTTGCATCAAATGATGCGGAGTAACCAAAGTCCTTYTGTCGAACCTTTTCGGSMWTTTTTTGCATATAAAACARYAGCYCAAGTTTCGATAATAGTCGTGTCRTCKGCGAATATTTGGTTGTCTGTTCTGCCTGGCCAGGATTTCCTTTTAATGCARACTTTAAGRAAAACTGGCAATCTTGCATTTTGTCGGTTCGTTCCTGCCAATTCGGAAAAATTTGAAAACTTTGCCATTGGGGTTGCATTTGACACGCGCTAATTGTTAAGCCAAAAAACTCCCCTGATGATGACGTGGAAACGAAACCTTTTCTGTCTTTATAAGCAAACAAATTAAAAAAAAATCAATTAACTAACAAAACTTTTTAAATCAATAACCGTGTATTTGAGCAAAAAAACCAAAAGAGCGTTTCTATGCCCAATTCAATGTAGCATAAGAAACTGATTTTTGTTTGCCAAAAACTCATTGGCGTACGCCGGTTTTGCGCCTATAAAGTATGAAAAGGTGAAATATGGCGCACACTTTCTCGTGCAAGACAACAGTTTTCACGTTTTCAATCAGAAAATGTGCATTTTAGCGAAAAAACCCAAAAGCGCTTTTTGGTTCCCGACTGAATGCAGAAATAGAAAATAA